TCTTTTCTTTTTCACGTATTGCTCCAGTGCGTTCCTCCTGTGACAATTCCATCGGGCTGTGGGTGTAAATTCCATCTCCTTAAGCACTACACAACCTTCCATGTCAACGTCCACTCATCAGCCTCTCCGAGAATGCTGTCCATCTAGGGTGTGTCCTCGTGATGTATCATTGTGGTTCTCTTGTCCCATAGTGAAAAACAAGATTTGTTGGATAATTAACAGTGAATAAATATTAACGTTTTAATGGAAGCATGTCAATAATATTGTTCCAACTCCACCCTTATTTCTGGGTCTTCATTGACCTTTATTGGTCAAGAAGCGCATAATGCGCGGCCAAGGACGCTTTGATCACTCAGATGAAAAGCTTCATTCTTTGATCGTGATCTTGTAATGGGATTTCTCAGCTAATGGCCATTATTCCTAATTAATACTAACTAATTTAATATAATGCCATGCTGATAAATATTTTGGACAAATCTAGAGATTGATGTTATGAGTAGTGTCCATGTGCAAACAGACAAAGACCTATCATGGAAACAACTGGTTATTAAGATTCATTTGCTGTCTTGGTCTGTTTCTAGAGCAAGGCCCATGAAGGTTCTCAGTACAATGATGGAGAGGCATCCTGGTTCCAGCTGGCATCCTGTGTCAGGTGTGTCATTGTCGTCAACGGCATCATCAATCACGGTCGCACCCGTGAAACCTGTGCCTTGGAGTGTACCCACGGTCTAGTGAGGGATGGAGCTTGCTGCTCTGCCTGTACAGGTAGGAGTCATGTGACACATGAGTAGGCGTCACATGACATCATGTGGGGGATGAGGGCTGGTTGAGGACACATGAGTGTTAGGTCACAGGACCTCTTTTAGGGGTCCGGACTTGGTAACCGGTGTGTAAAGGTAGACGGTATGTATGACGTCTGTTTATGGACTGTTTGATGTCATCTATTTTCAGACCTCATGTATGACATCTATAACAGACCGTATACATGACATCTATTTATGGACTATGTGATGTCATCTATTTTCAGACTGCATGTATGACATCTATAGCAGACCATATACATGACATCTATTTATGGACTATGTGATGGCATCTATCTTCAGACTGCATGTATGACCTCTATAATAGACCGTGATACATGACATCTATTTATGGACTATGTGATGTCATCTATTTTCAGACTGCATGTATGACATCTATAGCAGACCATATACATGACATCTATTTATGGACTATGTGATGGCATCTATCTTCAGACTGCATGTATGACCTCAATAGCAGACCGTATACATGACATCTATTTATGGACTATGTGATGGCATCTATTTTCAGACTGCATGTATGACAGCAGAATAATCCAGGATGGAGAGACGTTTGTGAGGAATGGGTCGCCATGCCAACAGTGTACATGTAAAGAGGGGAACATAGAGTGTCAACTCGGAGGGCTTTGTCCCCCGCTGCCCTGCAAGAAGACTGAGACACCACAGGACCAGTGCTGCCCTCGCTGTGCAGGTCAGTAGATCATGTGACCTTGTCATGAAATAATGACAGCATCAGGTGGCCATTGTAATGGTAGTGACTCCTGATAGGATCCTGGTTATCTGGTAAAATGTTTCTGTCACACCCAACATAAGTGCATGAGATACTGCAAGTTGATGCTGCTGTTAATACAAGACATCCAGGAGTAGGAGTTATATTTTTTGTTACTGGTCCTGACTCCTACGACCGCCTCCATGGTGTCCGCCCGGATAGCGGAAGGTCGCGGGTTTGATCCCCGACCGCGTCATACCAATCGACGTTAAAATATGGTACTTGTTGGTCCTCGCCTGGGGTTCGGCATTAATGGTTACAACAAGGACTGGTCGGCTTGGAGTCAGTATAATGTGTCTGAGTGGGGTATTCATGCTTCACTGCGGCGTGGTATCTCAGTGGGCTACCACTATAAAACCAGCTTAAGTCTGGGCTAGTACAAGCAGCCATACATACACATACACACGCATGCACGTCGTCATATGAGCGAAATATTCTTAAGCACGACGCTAAAACCCAATTTTCACCTCACCTCACCTGACTCCTAGACATGGCCAAGGTATTTGTGCATACAGTAGGTCTTATAGTTGTGTAGTACTGGTACCAAAAGTAACCCCAACAGCGACCCCAACAGTGACCCACAACAGCATCAGAGTTACAGTGATTGAGGAATTCTCCTTCTGATGAAAACTATTATCTGTCTGTGCCTCATGACTGTGTAATGGCTGAGGCATTCTTCATGGTTTCAAGAGTGCACATATGAAGGGCGACCTATCGCTATGGGGAAATGATCACGAAGGACAAGTGCTCTCACTGCGTGTGTCGTGAAGGTCAGTATGTGATTCGGGGCGGTGGGGTAGCCTAGTGGTTAAAGCGTTGGCTCGTCACGCCGAAGGCCCGGGTTCGATTCCCCACATGGGCACAATGTGTTAAGCCCATTTCTGGTGTCCCCCGCCGTGATATTGCTGGAATATTGCTAAAAGCAGCGTAAAACTAAACTCAGTCAGTCAGTCAGTATTTGATTCAATTAAGTAAATATTATTTTTTTAATTTGCTGCTTCAGTTTGCAAAAATCTTGCACGAAAAACTACAGAAAATAAGTATATTATTTCCTACACTTGCAATCATGGTGTATAAAACCTGACTCTCTCCTTGTTGTAGGCCAGGTGACGTGTGATCGAGTCCCATGCCCCCAGTTGCGGTGTTCGGACCCACAGACTGTTCCAGGAGCGTGCTGTCCTGTCTGCTCCAGATGTGAATACTTCTCCAAGTTCTATGAAGATGGACAGACATTTGTCTCACCTCGAGATCCTTGCGAGTCTTGCCTGTGCAAAGTAAGTTGGGTTCTTGTGTGAGCAAAGTAAGGTGATGATCCCATTCTTGCAACTTTGATTAAGTGAAATTCTGCCTACGTGAATTGATGTCACATCCTTTTCAGGGCCTGCACTCTGGCGGACCCAGAGGGGGTGGGGGTGTTTCAGTCCCCAATGACTTAAGTCCTCTTTGACGATTTTTTGTTGCATTGGCGGAGCCCCCCCCCCTGTATGTTCTAAATATGTGACATTAACATCGTTGTTACATCTTTTCAAGTTCCACTCACACACTAAAAGTAACAGAAATTTTATCTTCCCATATTGAGGATGATACGACTGAAGCTCTAGTATATATGTGGTGCTGTCATTGTGTAGGATGGGCAGGTGGCGTGCCGCAGCATCAAGTCGGACTGTCCGGCCGTGCAGTGTACACATCCTGGGTCTGTACGCAACCAGTGCTGCCGACAGTGTGACAACTGTATGTACCTACGTCGCATGTTCCGTAACGGCCAGAAGTTCACGCCCCCTGGTGGGGACCAGTGTCAAACCTGTGTATGCAGGGTAAGTTTCACATGTCTGTGTGTCTGAGTCTTGGGGTTTGCTGATTGTAACTAAAGAATTGAATTTGAATTCCAAATTGTGCCTCAAACTCCATCCACAATTAGTACAATAGGCATAAATTCTCCTTTCTGATCTCCCTCCTAAGCTTTTACCATATCTTAGTGTTAAATGTGACCTGGTTGCTATGTGGTCAGGCAAGTGCTCCCATGTCTCAAGTGTGTTTGTATGTCAAGCAAACGTTTCTTAGAAATTTGTTTGTGGAGAATAGTACTTGATGACATGTATTGTTCAAAACAGTGAACAAATGATGATGATGATGATGATAATGATGATGATAATGATGATGATGATGATGATGATGATGATGATGATGATGATGATGATGATGATGATGATGATGATGATGATGATGCAAAATTGTCATTGATTAAAAGATATTTTTGCCAGAATTCTATGATAAAGGGTTCAGCTCCAAAAAAATTGTCATGATTTGCTTCAAACTTTGTCACTACCATATCTGTGCACATGGATTTCACCTGTGGTAAACAGGTAAACATCTGAGATATGTGAAACAATGGCCAAGGCAATGTGAAAGTCCCTCACTCACTCAGAGGGAAGTGTTTGCAGTGTTACGTCATGTTGTTGATCGTGTGGTGTTGCAGGATGGGAGCGTGACGTGCAACAAGCTGGAATGTCCAGAGCTCAACTGCCTCAACTCGTACACCCCTACAGGCCATTGTTGCCCGATTTGTCGCATGTCCTGTGAGTATGGAGGCCGAGAGTATCGGGAGGGTCAGACATTCCCCAACCCCCGGGACGAGTGTTCAGTGTGCACCTGTAGGGTGAGTAAACAACAGTTGCATATGTATTTAATCGTGTGATATATAGCATCCTTCTTATTTGAAAAGAAAGCTTGTGTTTCCACAAAAATCCTTACATCCTTGAGAACAGAGTTTTTATGGTTTCTGTACATATCTTTTTCCCATTTTAACTTAATAACCACATATATTAGTAGTTTGTCCCATGTATTCCATTAGAGCTGTTGAAGTGGTGGCAGGTCACTGGATATTTTACAGGTGCTTCATTGAATTGCTGCCACTAACAATGCCTGCAACAATGTCTATAATGACATTACAGTGTCACTAATATAACTGCATGTGTATATTTTAAGAAAGGGAGAATAAATTTTGCATCTGGAAGGAATATATAGGATGGGAGATTTAGGGAATGTCCAAATATTTTGTTTTCACAAAGTGTTGATCTATATGATTGTGGTTTTCAAAGATTCTTTGAGGGAATCGATGGGATGGGAGATTTAGTAAGTCAGAATGTTGGCAAAACATTTTGTAATTACAAGTTTGATAAAGGTTGAATGATGGTAATATCTATTAATGTGTCCCATACCAAAACTGATCTCATCTTTCCAGGACAGTCGTAGTAGAAAGCGGCGGCAAATGTCCATCGTCCATGTGCCTGAGCCCCTGCCACTCTGCCCTCGGGACTGCTGTCCCAGCTGTGAGTTCTGCCTGTATGACCGCATCTTCTTCGAAGCAACCATCAGCACTTCATCCACCCCAGCAACCTGTGTGAGGAGTGTGTGTATTGTAGCGTGAGTCTACTGGTTACTTATTTTACTGGCTCCTCTTTGGACATGCTTACAATACATCACTGAGTCGCAGGAGGCGAGATGGTTGGGTGACTTGTGTTTATTTAAGTAAAGGAGAATATATTTTACATTTGGAAAAGAATGGCTATCCACCTGAAGAAGGGGCAAGAATTAGCCCAGAAACGTTGTAAAAATAAATCAAGAAGTTGTTATCCATAGGATTTTGTCTTAAAATGATGGAAGGATTGGACATTTTGCAGATGTCCAAATGTTTTGTTTTTACGCTTTGTTTACAAAAAGAATTGTTTGTATTTTAAGTATGCAAACTTTCATTTAGCTAATCACAATGACATGTTTCTGTCGATTATTTTAGAATGGATAATGAAATTTTGTGTTAAATACTTTTGAAATGATGCTTAATTATTTGATGGCACTGGAGTCAGTATATTATCCAGAGTATTGTATTTATTGTAAGGAGAGTTATGATATTGATGATTTCGTTTTCTGACAGAGTGGGTCTGTGATGTGTACAATGATAGACTGCCCTAAGCCCCCCCGGTGACAAACTCCAATGCCCATGGCGGACAATGCTGTTTTAGGTGCCCCAAGAGCTGCACGTACCAGGGTCTATCCTACGAGGATGGACAGACGTTCAAGCAGTCCACGAAACAAGTGTGAAGAGTGTCTGTGTCGTCAAGGTGTCGTGTCCACGTCAGCTGTGACTCGTGTGCACGAGTGTCATGCCGACATCCAGCGGAGGAGGGTTGTTGCCTGTGCAACAGTAAGTGGGGAGACTACACTCCAGTTTACAATCTGTTACTGGGTAAAGTGGAGGAATAATATATCTTTGAAAATAAACTTTAGTTTCTTTGAGTTTTCGTAAAGTGTTCTGGCTTTCTTAGGAATTCATTCATGGAGAATAATATGTATGGTATGTATGACCATACTTAATATGCAACTGAGGTCGCAACCCCAAGTTTACCCAGCGTATCAGTCTGTTACGAGAAATACCCAGGACAGATTTACCACATTAGCCTATTTTTGAGGCTGCTTTTAAACTACCGAAGTAAAATGTGCACTGTTCTTTCAACTCCCATTCTGCACACTGTGTACTATGGACAGAGTATATGAAACCAGTTCTCCATGCTTGTCCCAATCCAGTTAATGTTGGGACAAGATGGTTTCAGTGTGTGAGTTTGTTGATTGTATTTTTTTGTCTCCAAATGCCCTGGATTTCACCTGACATTTGATGTTTGATACTACCAAATAGTATGTTCAAGGCACCACCTTTTTTTTAATATTGTTGACAACTTAAAAAGAACAGATTCTTGTTTTTGTAGCTCCAAGTTTCTTCAAAGAAAGCAGCCATATTGTAGAAAATGAAACATTATGAGGTATTCATAGTTTTGATAATTTCCTCAGAAACCATTGAAGCTGAAATTCACATACAGTACTTATTTCAACCAATGAAGACACCCAAATGTGCAAGCCGTTTGAACTGATTTAAAAATAATATTCATGACCAGTACACTGTCATGTTTTTTCAGAATATACTGAAATTGGTATGTTTTTAGTTATTTGTGGAGTCCATCACATATACAAACACTGTTCTGTTGAAACTGACGTCACAACTGAAAAATCAAATAAACTGTATGTTTGATACATCAAACAAAGGTGTTTGACTTCTGTTTTACATGATATTAAATGTTTTTCCTTGCAAGCTTGTAAATGTTTTTGAACAGAGTCATCATCTTCACAGAACAACTGAACAATTAAAGTGGAAACATCACATGATTGTCCCCAACAATGATGACACCTTAATTTGTTTAAGAATCCAGTTGAAAAATCAGTGGAATGGTCTAAAAAAATATAATAGAGTTAGTTCATGTATAGTGAGTTGAGTTAGAAGTGACATTTGACTTAATTGTTCTAGAATTTTAATTTTTGTCCTTGTTTGACCTGTTATTATTTTCTCTGTAAGTAAATTTGCACCTGATTTCATGATTAGAATATAGTGTTAGATCAGTGTATGAAATAAGGCCCATCCGACAGCCCGGGAAGGGCTATCTTTCTGATGGATGATCTAAATTTACAGCTAGCTAGCTATGGACGGGTGAAAAAAAACAATTCCGATAACATTCCCACTTGCACTGACTGGTAAAATCTCTTCCGGGCTGGTAAGTTTTAGGCTTATTTCATACACTGGTTAGATGTGATGAATTTATCAAGAAAATATAGACGTTTGTTAAGTATCAGTCTTAAACTGTTGACATTTTAAACAGTTGACTGCATATCCAGGTAAGCTATTAATTTTCAACCACTGATTTTCTTGTTCCAGACTTGAATATGTAAAGGTTAGTCTGATATAGCTGGAATTAACTCAACATTAAATCACCTACTCATCTGCTAGGCATCACTCAGTACTTCTTTATGTTTCAATTTCCTGTTCCATAATGTCTGCTGACAGTTGGAATGTTTTAACAATTTCAGATTGTTTCTTCAAAAATCAGTTATGGCGCAATGGGCAGAAGTTCCCAGACCCTCAAGACGAGTGTTCAAAATGTCGATGTCAAAATGGAGAAGTGTCTTGCCAACGTCAGCAGTGTCCGCCGGTATCATGTCGAAACCCTGTTATTGAGAACTGCTGTCCTGTTTGTAGGGAGTGTGAGTACCAAGGGCGGAGAATCGGCAGTGGTCAGACATTCACCCGTGTTGGTGGGAGCTGTGAGACATGTGTCTGTGTAGAGGGAAACGTGGAGTGCCAGCGGAAGATGTGCCAGGAGGTAACATGCCAACACCCAATCGAACGTGACTGTTGTAAAGAGTGTACAGACTGTTTCTACCACGGCCGGCCCTTTAACAATGGGCAGTCATTCCCAGACACCCAGGATCGGTGCAAGGATTGCCACTGTATTTCGAAGCGTGCCACGCAGTGAGCAGCGTGTGCCCCCGAGCTCCGTGTAAGAACCCAGTGAAGACTCCAGGTCACTGCTGCCCCCGTTGCTCTGACTGTGAACACGAGGGTCAGCAAGTGCGGAATGGTCTTCGAGTGCCACATATATCAGATCCATGTATGGAATGTGAGTGCCGGCGAGGCAATATGGAATGCTTTAAAAGAAGATGTCCTGATACCGTCTGCCGGAACCCTGTTACACGAGGCTGTTGTCAGGAATGTGATGACTGTTTATATAATGGCAAGGAGTACAGCAACAGACAGACATTCCTGGACCCGACGGACCGCTGTAAGGCCTGCAGCTGTGTGGATGGCAACATCATCTGCTCCCCGAAGCAGTGCCCTCGTGTCACGTGTTTGAACCCAATGCAAGGGGAGTGTTGTCAGGAGTGCTCCAACTGCCTCTTCCAGGGTGCTGTGTACGACAACGGTCAGGAGTTCCCCGACTCAGCCGATACCTGCAGCTCCTGCTACTGCAAGTCAGGAAACGTGGAGTGCACAAGGAAACCCTGTGCCAATATTGCATGTTCCCATCCAATGAGAGACGGCTGTTGTCCGTGTAAAGCGATCGAGGATGCCGGTTTGAGGGCAGGGATTATCGCGGAGAAGGAAAAGACGGAGCCGTGACTGCCAGGTGTGTGCACGCAACGGATGGGAACATGCGGTGTTTCTGGAGTACTGCCTTAATCGTCAAATGCTCCAACCCGGTCTCTGTGGACTGCTGCCCGGTCTGTGGAGACTGCATGTTTGAAGACAGGAAGTTCCGCAATGGTCAGACGTTCCCCGACGTGAAGGATCCGTGCAGTGAGTGTGTGTGCAGGGTGAGGGCATGTTGGAAGGTCAATTATGATGTTCAGAAGTAGTCTGTTTGTTATAGATCAGTCACAGCGTTCAGATGTAGTGTCACAGTGTATGTGTTAGATGTATGTAGTGTCACAGAGTCTGTGTGCAGATGTATGTAGTGTCACAAATTATGTGTTCCGATGTATATAGTGTCACTGTTTATATATGTGGTGTCACAGATTATGTGTTCCTATGTATGTAGTGTCACTGTTTATGTATGTGGTGTCACAGATTGTGTGTTAGATGTATGTAGTGTCACAGATTATGTGTTCCTATGTATGTAGTGTCACAGAGTGTGTGTTCAGATGTATGTAGTGTCACAGATTATGTGTTCAGATGTATGTAGTGTCACAGATTATGTGTTCAGGTGTATGTAGTGTCACAGAGTGTGTGTTCAGATGTATGTAGTGTCACAGAGTGTGTGTTCAGATGTATGTAGTGTCACAGATTATGTGTTCAGGTGTATGTAGTGTCACAGAGTGTGTGTTTAGATGTATGTAGTGTCACAGATTATGTTTAGATGTATGTAGTGTCACAGATTATGTGTTTAAATGTATGTAGTGTCACAGATTATTCATTTAAATGTATGTAGTGTCACAGATGTATGTAGAATAATTTATTGTTTGATGTTAATGACATCAGATACTACATTCAGCTGTTCTCAGTTATTATCATAGAGTTTGAATGTATTTTGTGTGCAATCAGATTAGACGTAGATGATTATAGGCACTGTTTATACCAATGCGTAGTCACAGATTATGGCAACCTCTGTAGTCACAGATTATGTCCAGCTGTGAAGTTACAGATTGTTTTGTTTTGGTCATTTGTGAATCACACATAAAGTGAAGGCTGCGACCTGTCCTAAGGCACATGTGAGTGAGTGAGTTTAGTTTTACGCCGCTTTTAGCAATATTCCAGCTATATATCACGGCGGGGGACACCAGAAATGGGCTTCACATATTGTACCCATGTGGGGAATCGAACCCGGGTCTTCGGCGTGACGAACGAACGCTTTAACCACTAGGCTACCCCACCACCCCCCTAAGGCACATGTGCAGCCATTGTCAGGACATCAGTAAATACAGAGGATATACATGTAAGCATGAAGCAGACTAATATGCCTCCATGTCAGACACCTCACAATGTTGTTGTCATTCAGGATGGAACATTCAAGTGCAGCAAGAAGTCATGTCCGGCTCCCAAATGTCAAAACCCAGCACAAGGTCAATGCTGTCCTGAATGTCGGAACTGTGAACTGAATGGAAAAATATTGGCACATGGTCAGCGATTCCCCGCTGAGACAGATCCATGCAGTACGTGTGTTTGTCAGGTGAGAATAGGTCACATGACTTAGTTGATCACCTGAATATATACATTGGCTGCAAGATGGGGTTTGCAAGATTGGGGTTTGCCAGAATATATCTCACCTATATAGGGGGAGTGATTGATTGAGTGAATAAATATGGTTTTATGCCGCTTTTAGCAATATTCCAGCAGTATCTCGGCAGGGACACCAGAAATGGGCTTCACACATCGCACCCATGTGGGAATCAACACAGGTCTTATGCATGATGAGCGAATGCTTTAACCACAAGGCTACCCTACCACATCCATAAGGGGAGTTGGGGATGCCATGAAATAATGATGCACCTCGACATTTTCAAATTTGGACGATTTCTGGTTTCCCACTGTGATATTGCTGGAATAATGCTAAAAGCGGCATAGAACTAAACAAACTCAAATTTGAACATTATTGATGGATTGGTCATTTGATTTTGGAAGGGTATGTTATGAAAAATATTTAGGAGTAGGCCATGAACTAATGTTAAAATGAAGGGAAGAGTATGAGACAGTCCTAAGACCAGTCCTTTTATTGAATTAATAAAATGACAGTTCCTTTATATGTTGCCATTCGGGTTAGAATTGATCTTCAGTGACCCATGCATGCTTGTCATAAGAGGCTACTAATGGGACTGGGTGGTCAGACTCACTGACTTGGTTGACACATTTCATCGTATCCCAGTTGCATAGATTGATGCTCATGATGTTGATCACTGGACTGTCTGGTCCATACTCGATTATTTACAGACCGCCGCCATATAGCCGGAATATTGCTGATTGTGGCATAAAACTAAACTCACTCACTCACTTATATGTTGCCATGTCCGAGAAGTTCATCAAGCCTCAGTTGTTGGTGTTGCAGTTTAGTGTACATGTATTGTATATTGTATGATTGTATCTTGTATTGTCATTATTTATTCAACAGCTTGGAACGATCAGCTGCGACCGTCACACATGTGACAAGGTATCGTGTGAACACCCTGTGATTGATTCATGTGGATGCTCAACTTGTCGTCAGTGCAGCTACCGGAACACCACATACAGACACAATCAAGAATTCCCAAACCCTGAGGATAAATGTTCAACCTGCCAGTGTAGGGTAAGTTCTCTTCCATTGTTGCGGGAAATATAATGTGACATGTCTGTTTGTTGTATAACACCTCGCCAATATTCCCACTATATGGCTACGGTCAGTAAATAATCAAATCTGGGCCAGACAATCCAGTGATTAACATCATAAGCATTGATCTACACAATTGGGATACGATGACAACCGAGTCAGCAAGCCTGACCACCTGAACCCGTTAGTTGCCTCTTACGACAAGCATGGGTTGCTGAAGACCAGTTCTTTCTGGTGAAACAGGCAGTCATCAGTAGTCGTCACTGGTGTACATTTTGGAGAAAGGTTACAGTCTGATATGAGATGCTGATTGAAGAAGTATCGAGATGATTTAAATTACTTTTGAATACATGCCCTGTGACATCATAGACATGATCTCTGTGGCAGTTCTCACAATATAAAGATTTTCAACACACTTTTCATCTTCACTGTCAGCTACAACCCAATCCAAATACAGATACAGTAAACTACGTTCATAATGAATCCACTGACAATTAATCCATAATTATGAACTTTGAAAATGAAGATTGGTAGTCCTTTTGTGTTTGTAGTTTACTGTAGTGTACTCTTGCCAAAACATACTCTGCACATGTACAACCCTGGGAACATGTCTCTTCTTCTCTGACTAATTATTTCCCCAACAATTTAGATTCACAAAAATAGGTTGATCTTCACACTAGTGATTTCTTTAAAGATAGTCATGTCTAGTGTTTATTGGGTGCATATGTGTTTACTACTGAATGACGTATATTTTGTGAATGCGTTGGGAGTGGATTCCCTGCGACGTTGCCCAGGCTGTAGATGCCATTAGTTACCTGTTATCCTTCATCTTATTCTAAATGCATGGAAGCGTTATGTACTGTGAATTTCAGATCAGTGTGTTGTTTATTATTGAATATACACTTTCAAAACTTGCTATGAAATCACAAAAGATTCATCAAATAAGATGAAGTCAAGGAAGCCTCCTGGTTTTGAGAGCAAGGAGCAAGGTTTGTGTCTTTCCACCAGGAAGAAATGGAAAGATGGCAAGAGCTCAAAAGTGTAATGTCCACAAGGCTTAGGATCCTTCTGTTGCCGTCTGCTCACTTGCCCATGGATAAGGAGTCGGTGTAACACCAAGCACACACTTACAGACTGGTCATCCCGGCAAGATAGACATGTCGCACAGCCCCAGACAAATGGTTATCTTGAAGCATGTCCCAAGAATGATTCCAATTTCCAACCATAATCCAGGGGTAGAATCCAAAAGGCAGAGCAAAGGAGGTAACTGACAACTTACTAGAATCAACTGTTGCTCTGAACCTTCTTTGTTGATGGGCCTCATTTCAAGGCAAGGATTTGATTGAGTGGGAATATCAGACTGCTTGTCACTGGACCAGACACAGACTTCTATTTCATCAATGTGCGGTTCATAGATCCTGGACTTCAAACTGATGATTACGTTTTATAGAGCATTTCCTTTGGCCAGTCTTAGGATTCTACTCCTTCTTATTCTAGCCCCTCAAAGAAAGAAATTTGCAGATACTGCAGAGCTCATAGATTATCTAGTATGTTAACCCAAATTTCAAATGGAATCACGAATCAGTAACAGCTGGCGCACCTTGGGTTTGAAGCAGTGTTTGACATCTGAAATCAAGTAGTTCCTTTTCCGACAAGTATCAGTCAAGATTCCAGTTTTTCTCTCTGGTCCTGGTATCGTCTTGTGCAAGTGTAAAAAGCCATTAGCACTTTATGATGCTGGGATTGGAAGAGAAGCACTCCTACAATTCCTTGATCAGCATCAACATTTATTCCCTCTGTTCTCTCGTATCTTTCATGTGCTGACTACTTCAGTGCTATCACAGTTTGGTACTGGGTTGCATTTGTATACTTTCTCCCTACCCAAACTTGCTTACAAACAGATGGTCCTAGCCAGCCATTCCATCAGATCTTTCCTTCTTGTTTGAGAACTGGAAATTTTGTAGTTGCCAGTTCAGACTTTTGCTAAATTCTCTGTCACCTTGCCTTCATTGAGTCTTTCAAAGAAGGCTCAGATCTTCTTCAGGTGTTCTTCCAATTCCATGGAATGAATGATGGTATTATCAATGTAGACGCCAACTCCCACTAGATTGCTGGTAATGTTGTTGGAAGTGGCTGGAGTGTTCTTGAGCCCAAATGGCATGACTTTGTATTGATAAAGTCCATCTGGAGTCACAGAAGCTGTAACCCACTTGGCACACTCTCTCAGTGGAATCTGCCAATACCCCTTTATTAAGTCACACTTAGTGATGTTCTTGGCTTGACTGATTCTGTTGATGGCAGTCACTGATTCTTGGTATCGGGTAACAGTCAGTTCTGAAAACAGCATTCACTCGTTTCATTGCATTTCAGCATCTGTAACTACCAGCGTTGGCACAAGAATACGAGATAAACTATAACTATCACTATGACTTGGTCAGTGATGTCAATATCCAGTATGTATTGAACTTCCTTTTTCAAGGCTACAAGTTTGATTTGATTCATCTGACAGGGATGTTCTCAGTCACATCTTCAACCTACATGTTCATCATGACACACTAAATCTGTAAAGCAATGAGTGTGTGAGTGAATATGGTATTACACAGGTTTGTGCAATATTCCAGCAATATCACGTTGGGGACACCAGAATGAACATCTGAAAACAAGTGAGGGAAATCTTGAATTAACTCTTTTTTGCTAAGGTGGCAAATGAAATATCAACTAGGTTAGCTAAAATTTCAGAATTGCATAGCTAAAGACTATCATAGTCAGCAATACATACTATCATACTTTACAAAGTCACATCTCTCATGTCACAATCTGATACAATATCTGCATGACCAACTGTGGCAAGATATCAGTGTCATTTCTTTCATGATACATTCTAATAATGATTTCATGGCGAAGTTGTGTCTTTCTGAAAGCCTGAATGTCATTATCACTGACTTTGCTGGGGTACAAATTGTCCCCAGCAACACAATTTTTTTTCGAAAGCATAGTCCAAAATGATGGAACTTGGTCCAACAAACATGTTTAAGACCTATGATTAACCCGTTGCTCCTTAAAGTGCTGTAGAAGTCCCTGAACAGTATGGTCAAAGACATTGTCAAAAGGATGGAAAATGGACTCCCTTACAACACCATATGAATGTGTCAATCCCAAACCTGTCCTTATCATGTACCAGTGAGTGCTGTCCTGGTGTCCTGGATTTCAGATGCATTATCTACATGACCAACTGTGGCAAGATATCAGTGTCATTTCCTCATGATAAGTTCTAATCATACTGACATGGTGAAGTTGTGTTTTTCTGAAGCCTGAATGTCATTATCACGGACTGGGATACATTTCAAATTGTCCCCAGCTACACAATTTTTTTCGAAAGCATAGTCCAAAATGACAAATGTGAATGACGATCACAAGAAGGATACCAGAAAAGTCTTGTGCTTGTTGTATTTAAAAATGTGGGAAATGGTAACTAAGAATCCTAGCATCAAAAAGTGCTAGTAGTTGTGTTCAACTGGCACTGGATGATACAAGGTTCCCAAGTAAGCAAGTTTGGGCAGGGTGAAAGTAGCCTCTGTACCCCAGTATCAAACTGTGATAACATTGAAGTAGTCATCACAAGAAAGATACAAGAGAACAGAAGAATAAAAGTTGATGCTGCTGCAGGAATTGTAGGTGTGCTTCTCTTCCAATCCTAGCATCATAAAGTGCTAGTTGCTTTTGACACTTGCACAAGACGATACCAGGACTAGAGAGAAAAACTGAAATCTTGTCAGAAGAGGAACAACTGGAACTCGGATATGAAAAACTGCTTTGAACCCCAGCATCTGGAAGTGCTATAGTACTGTCGGAAATAGAAAAAAATTGTATTTTCTCAATCTCTACAATTTATGTAGTTGATATGTGAAGAAATATCTGCTAAGTTCAGCCTAACTACAGTCTAAGTGGTAGAGAGATAGGAAACGGAAAAGGACTTTACTGAGGGGAAATTAGTGCAGAAATGAGCAATGACCAATGCGGTTTTGCGATGTGAAAACTGCTTTGAACCCCAGCATCTGGAAGTGCTAGTTGTTAGAATACACAAGCACAATCAGATACTTGGATATGTGGCAGTGGTAGAAAGTGATGCTGTGGAAAGGATGAGAATGACACTTCCCTACCCCAGTATCAAACTGTGATAACGCATGTGAATGGTGATCACGAGAATGATACCAGAGAAGAGAAATGTGCTGGTGGCCTCTTGCTTGTTGTCTGTAAGAATGTGGTATATGCTAACCAAGAATCCTAGCATCAAAAAGTGCTAGTAGTTGTGTTCAACTGGCACTGGATGATACAAGGTTCCCAAGTACGCATGTTTGGGCATGGTGAAAGTAGCCTCTGTACCCCAGTATCAAACTGTGATAACATTGAAGTAGTCATCACAAGAAAGATACAAGAGAACAGAAGAATAAAAGTTGATGCTGATGCAGGAATTGTAGGTGTGCTTCTCTTCCAATCCTAGCATCATAAAGTGCTAGTTGCTTTTGACACTTGCACAAGACGATACCAGGACTGGAGAGAAAAACTGAAATCTTGTCAGAAGAGGAACCACTGGAACTGGATGTGAAAACTGCTTTGAACCCCAGCATCTGGAAGTGCTAGTTGTTAGAATACACAAGCACAATCAGATACTTGGATATGTGGCAGTGGTAGAAAGTGATGCTGTGGAAAGGATGAGAATGACACTTCCCTACCCCAGTATCAAACTGTGATAACGCATGTGAATGGTGATCACGAGAATGATACCAGAGAAGAGAAATGTGCTGGTGGCCTCTTGCTTGTTGTCTGTAAGAATGTGGTATATGCTAACCAAGAATCCTAGCATCAAAAAGTGCTAGTAGTTGTGTACAACTGGCACTGGATGATACAAGGTTCCCAAGTAAGCAAGTTTGGGCAGGGTGAAAGTAGCCTCTGTACCCCAGTATCAAACTGTGATAACA